AAATCGAAGGAAGAAGACCACAAGGACCGCCCTTTACTTGGATGACTGGACGTATACTCACAGCATACAGCTTTTTCTGTTTGTCCTTGCGTATCAATAATGTGCTGGTGACTTAAGCATATTAATTATGAGCTTTGCGATCGTCAATACTGCGGGTTTTTGTCATGTGCTATTGTTTTTTACTGACCGTCATTTGCTTGTTCACCAACCTGATCAGAATAAGTAAGTGAGCGTGGCTCGGGGCGGGGCCCGTCCAGTTGCGGTCGAGCTACGCATCTCTGGCGGTTGTTTGTCCGTATCAATTTTTGTCTTAACCTTTTGTTCTCGCCTGTTTAGCCACATGATTGACGTATTAAGATGCTGCATTGCCCTTGTGTCACACTGAGTTGTTCCGCGAAGCTATTTATAATAACTGAGAAACGCGAACTTTGCGTGGGAAGATTATAGAGTGTCCATGAAAAGTATGACCGCAGTGTCGCACTCAGTGTTCCAGACAAGGGGTGAGCCGCACTCAGTGTTCCAGACAAGGGGTGTGAGCCGCACTCAATGTTCCAGACAAGCGGTGTGACCCGCACTCAGTGTCCCAGATAAGGGGTGTGAGCCGCACTTAGTGTTCCAGACAAAGGGTATGCGCATTCGCTCTGCAAGTTATGGAGCTCGGGATACTGTAGAAAGAGAGAGTATCGTCTCAGATTTAACCTACAATGGAGGAATCACCCTATAATGTTATAAGATATTCACTGTACACAAGAATATTAGCATACACTTAAGTAGTTTGACTGTAACATATTTATAGTACTGTGCTCAAGCAGCGCGAGGGGTGCTGCTGCAAGTGTGTAGACGTCATATTTGATACAGCCAGTAGCGATATAAAGGTCAATTTTATTATTGCAGGCATGAAAATTGCTCATTCAGATAAGAAGGTAATGGCCAACATATATGTGTTCGATACAGATTCCCTGTTGTTATTTCCCGTGTGACGTGAAAAAAACAGATGAAGAATACGCAGCAGCACTACCTGCTTTGATTGCCAGAGACTAGAATGTTAAGTTAAATGTAAATAAGAGGTTTTTTAAATAACAGAAACATGAACAATCCTCAGGCTGAAACGAAATACAGAGAATAAAGGCGTGCTGCTGATCTAGCCTTTACCTGAAAAAATGTCTTAGGGAGAGGTATTTCAGACAGCACACTTTCAAAACCACTTTGCACATACGCACAGTTGGAGAACTAGAAACCCGGTCATGAATAATTACAAGATTGGACTGATTTTTAGCATTGGCAGATTTGTGCTCTGTGGTTGTTTGATGAGCAATGAGCAAGGTAATTTGCGCACGCGGCCGTGTATGCCACTAGTATTGATTCACGAAACCAATGCTCGCCGAGATGAGCCTTCACATTTACAATCATATCACATGATCACATATATCACATCACATATATCACATGTCACATGATGCTCACACCATGCTTCAGCCTGCGCCCTGCCGAAGCATCCTGACTACCTGGACTTACGCGGGAGGGTCAAATATCGGTCTCAGTCTCATGCAACTAAGCAACGCAGAAACCAACTTGCTGCTCACTATGGGAACTCTCCAGTGATATCCAGTTCCTTGTTGTTG